CCATGAAATTTTAATTTACAGCTAGTATGTTGTCTAAATCTTTGGTTTTTATCATGTTTTTAGTCTTTTCTATTTTATAAGAATATTTGAGAAAGATTCTTCAACTTAGTTCTCAACAAACTTTCAATAAAATGACGGACGGATGGACGGATAGACAGACGGGTAGATGCATGGGTGGATGGACGGACGGGTAGATGGATGGACGGACAAATCTGTGGTATATACAGATATTCTAACTCAAAAAAGTCAACTAATTTCAGTTCATAGACTATTTTCTAGCTGTTATGAACATAATTTCATTTGCTACATTAGTTTAATAAAGATCTAGAAACAAACATTTTATTGATCTTTTAACAAAATTTTTCACAAGCTTTAATTTTTTAATAAATATTTAAAATTTATATAAATTTTTTTTACAGCGAGTATGTCTTCTAAATCTTTTGTTTTTATCAAGTTTGTAATGATGTTTGGATGATTCTTCCCCTTAGTTTTCAACAAACTTTCAATAAAATGGACGGACGGACAGACAAACGGGTAGATGAATGGGTGGACAGACGGACGGACTGACACAAATTATTGCAGATGTGGATACATTGTTTTAGAAAAAGTTAGCTCATTTTAGTTCACAGACTAGTTCCTTGCTGTTATGGTCATAATTTCATTTTCTACATTTGTTAATAAAGATCTAGAAATAAATTTTATCGATCTTTAATGACAAATTTTTCATAATCATTAATTTTCTAATAAATATCTTTAAAAATTTCTAAATTCAAATAATTATGCAAAACTATTAAAACCTTTTTAACCTATTTCTAAATATTCTTTTTACTTTTTTTTATGTTAGTTAAAACTTTGTTGTTGTCTAAATCTTTTGTTTTTATCTAGTTTGTAAGCTCTTTTTGCTATAAATATTTATGTTAATCAGTTAGATTAACTTCTGAAAAGCTGTAGTTTCATTAAAATCTATACAACGAAAATTTTTTTACGAAATATTAAAACAATAAATTGGATTTAGTTACTAAATTTAAGATAAATACAAGTATGTTGCGAAGAATATATGTCCGTCGATCTGTGTTATTTTGGTCAAATAACATAAATTGAAGTGCTTTATGTGAACATCTAAACTAAAGGCCTAATTTCTCTGTGGTAGTACTTTTGCTCGAGGCTAGCATACCCCTATATCCATCTCGTATCATATACTTTTGATACCAATTCATTTCTAATGTTTAGTCCCACAGTTACTCCTCTATAGGGTATTTGCTTTCTTAGCATCAGTACTGAACTTATCACGAAATATAGATTTCAATGTGCATCAGTCTTTTAACCAACATTCTATTCCAGCGAGTAACTGAACAAGATAAATTTTCTAACTCTTTCCTAAGGTCTGCCAAATTATATTGCTCTCTTGTTGGTCCCCAGATCCAATCATTCCCAGAAAAGGTGCTGGATACATTATATAGTGCCGGTATGTCAAGAAGTGTTAGCCCTAAACACTTTTTGATATGAAGTGATCAACACTCAAAAACAACAAATATGCTTTTAGTTCCTTGTGGCATTAACTTTCACAATAAATAAACTAAATAACATTTGAGTTTTACTCAGACTTTTAAAGAACACAACAAAGTTTGCAGCTTAAGTCTTTTGTTTTTACAAAAGTTATAGTAAAGAAAACTCACGATTTTTATCAAATTTTAAATTTTAGCAAAATTGAAAATCAATATGACACCAAATCCGAAACTCTTTCTAGAGGTCTCTCAGATTATATAACTCTCTGGTTGGAGTCCAGGTAAAATCATTTCAAGGAAAGGCCGATGATACATTTGTTACCACAAGTTTATAGTCCTGACAGACTAAAGTAACAGCTCTTGATATGAAGTGACTAACATTAGGATTGATCAAGACAGTGTGATACAAATAATACAATGTATTTCTTTGCGGAGCCAAAACTACAAAATTTCTCGTAACACCTCCCTGTTAAGAGATAATGGATGATAATCCTTGAGTAGTTAGTTAGTTTGAAAGGAGAATGTATAAACATCAAATCCGAAGAAATACACCTAGGCCTCTATCGGGCCTGTTGTAAGCTCCTTAACCAGTGCCTCAGGTGGGAATCGAGCCCACCACCTGCGGTCTACCAGACAAGAACACTAACCACTAACCTACCGGAGGCCACAAACCTTGAGTAAGATTAACTAAAAATTATTTTTTTTCGTGGAATCTTTGAAAAATTAACAAATTAATTTTCTATTCGAAATATATATTTTGGTTTCTTATAGATAGCGATGTCCGTCTGTCTGTCCGTTTGTGTGTTACAAACAATTTTCTGAACACCCCAGATATCTTCGGCAACCAAATTTTCAAATAATTCTATCAGAAATGCTTACGAGAAGTTTTTTTTAATTACTATTTAGGTTCAATATGAACAAAATTTCCAAAGAACTTTTAAAATATATCGTTAAAAATACGAATTTTTGTCATTCTATAGCAAAACACAATGCAAATAATAACAACAAAATCCTGTTTTATTGTTATATGTTGCTGTATATTTTGTTTTAAGTATACAAAAGTAGCTTAAGTCTGAGAAAACAAAACTATTATGTACAAGATTTGTAACAGTTTTTGCTAATTTTTATACCCTACACCGCTATAGTGGGGAGGGTATTATGCGTTTGTGCTGGTGTTTGTAAGACCCAAAACTATTGGTCCAACATCCACCTTAAAGTAGACCAATCGGCTCAGAATCACTTTCTAAGTCTATTTAGCTATGTCCGTCTGTCTGTCTGTATTTTTGTCTGTCTGTCTGCCTGTATGTTTGTCTGTCTATCCGTCCGTCCTCCTTAAAGTATGCCAATCGGCTCAGAATCACTTTCTGAGTCGATTTAGCTATGTCCGTCTGTCTGTCTGCATGTCTGTATGTCTGTCTGTCTGTCTACCTGTATGTTTGTCTGTCTATCTATTTGTCTGTATGTCTATCTATCCATCTGTAAGTCCATGTAAACCTTGTGCGCAGGTCGCAATTTTCAATATAATTTGATGAAATTTGGCCTATTGAAAATCGGCCCATTACTTCGTATAGCCCCCATACAACCGTACCTCCCAAATAGGGCTTTTCAGCTCATAAATATGTTAAATGTTCTAGTATCACTTTAAAAATCGTTAAAACTTACTTTTATATAAGTCTTAATGATACTGCTGATTTTCATAATGATCGGACCTCCTCATTTGACCATATCCTCCATTCAAAGTCCCCGTCAGAAAATGACTTGATGGTCAAAATTTTATTATAAACACTAATATTATGATAATAATCTGCTTACATAACTAAATTTGGTACTTTTGGAAATTACTTTTGGGTTAAAAATTGTACTTATTTTGGGTACTTATTTTATTTTCCATTTTAAGGTTTATACATATGAATAGTTATAGGCTTCTACTACTATGTTGCAACTTTTGGAATAAAAATTTTATTACATTTATAGAAAGAGACAAGGTCCTGAAAAAGGGCCCTAAAAAGGGAATTTTATATTTATTCAAACTTATTGATCCAATTTTTCTTAAATGTTTACAAATTGATAAATTTAGTTACACTAACTGATGTGCTTTTTGTAACTCGGATTCCAAGCTTTACTTAGCACCTAAATCAGATGAGTATAAGATATAAGGAAACCTTTTGGTACCTTTTTATACCCACCATCGAAAAAGAGTATATATTCTAGGTCCTTATTAAATTCTAAGACGATCTAGATGTGTCCGTCTGTCCGTCTGTCCATTGAAAACACGATAGAGTCCGAACGGAATGAGATAGAGGGTTGAAATTTTCAACAAATATTCTCTATAAGTAAGGTTTGTTTCGTATTGAAAATGGGCTATATCAACATTTTCGGATAGCCGCCATACAAATGTACGCCTGAAAAACAGCTTTAACGGTCTAATATAACAATCTCGGTAATTTTCGGTAATATTGAACCTAGAAACATACAATTAAACACTTATCGTTTTGATTGATTTAGAATTTATAAAAGAGAACATTCTCGTGCTTTTTCGTCCATCTAAGGCAACACTTTTATTGAACAAAAACAAATTTTATTTACAATAAAATTAAAATAAAACTTAACTCTGTACTATAACTAATTGCTAGTGTTTTGTTCATTAAATAACACTTTCTGAAGTTTTGAAGATATTGAACAATCTGTAAATGGCAATTTTGTTTTTGGAAATTTTTTTTCATAAAATACATGAATAAATGAGAATCTAAATGAATAAACTTTTTCATTATTCAGTGGTACACAAACTGAAGCCTAAAGAATTTTTATATTGACGTTTGTTCACATAACAATAGCAAAATTTCTATATAATTTAACTTCGATAGGGCGTAGCAAAGCATTCAGGTTAAGCTTTTTATAGGGATTTTTTATACGAGATTTTCATGACTTTCAAAACAATATTTAGATGTTTGCTTTCTACTTAACAACTTCAACACAGGCAAATTCAATCAACAACATTTTATTTATAACCATTTTTGTTTGTAAACTTTTAGTATTTCATATTTAACTCATTAGAATAGATTTCAAACAATTTTTTTTTTTAATTTTTCAAAATTTTTTTAAAATTTTTTCAAAATTTTTTCAAAATTTTTTTTTTTTAAATTTTTCAAAATTTTTTCAAAATTTTTTTTTTTTTAATTAGTTTTTTGTTGTTCTGTGGCATTTACTTTCACAATAAACAAACTAAATAAACTTGACTTTTTGACAGACTTTTATAAACACCATCAAGTATGTAGCTTAAGTCTTTTGTTTTTATTGAAATAAAATAAAGAAAACTCACGATTTTAGCAAAATTTTAAATAAAATATTCCTTTTAGCAAAATTTTGAAAATCAAATACACTTTATTAAATAAATAAATTTGCACTCTTAATGAAAAACTCAATAAAATATATATTTTTTTCTCTCTCACTTTGATTTTAAAGAATAATATTTTTTTTTTATTTTTTTTAATTTACCTTTTCTTACATATTTTGTTAAAATGATTTTTTTGTGCATAAAACTTTTTTTCTATAAATTTATTGTAATATTTTTTTGTATTTCTCTAAATCAAATTTTTTTGTGGTGTATATACTTTTCCAATTTCCAACCAGAAAGTTGAAAAACAAAAAAACACTATATATAAACACCAAACTTGCTGGCAACTAGAGTTTAAGTTGTTGTATTTTATTTTATTTTTTTGTATTTTTTTATATATTTTTTCTTATTTTTTGTTATATTTCACTCTGTGTGTAAGAGCGTTAAGAACCCGTTTGACTCGTTGAAAAATATTTCTTTTCGCCTTTTAATTTTTTTCCATTTCTTAGGCAGAAATGTTTGTTGGTTGGTGTTGTGGTATGGTAGATGTTTGGTTGGCTGGCTGTTGTACTATATAGTTGATCTGGAGTTTTGTATTTTATTTTTCTTAACTCCAAATTTTTTTGTTAAGGGAACTTGTTAATTTTTTAAAGGATTTAATTTTTTTTTAGACTATAATTCCCAAGAAATATATATTTTCCCAACAACACTTTTTTGTTAATTTAATATTTTTTCTATTTTTTGTTATTTATGCTTTATTTGTAAAACTTTTCTAAATTATATTTCTTTAGGTTATTTTTGCTTAAATTTAACATAAATTAATTACAAAAGAATTTCAATTGATTTTTGCCATAACATGATTTTTCTTTTAAGGCTTTTTTTGTATTACAACTAACACTTGTTTTCTTTAGCAAATTTGTTGTAAACTTTGTATTTTTTTTTTTTATTACTACAAATATTTTATCCAATTGGCTTGAGATTTTTCTTATTTAGATATTTTTTCTTTATTTTAAATGCATTTTTTGCAATTTGCATAAATTCACTTCATTTTCTTTGCAATAACAACCAACAAGTAATAGTAACAAAAAAAAACGCGCTTTTCCACAGACGTTCTCGTTTGTTTTTTTGTTTATAATACTCTCTTAAATCCGTATCTCTAAGATATTGTAACGCAAGCACACGAAGAACTAAAGTTTATTATTTCTACCTGAACATGCCATACCTGGTAAAAATGCTGCAAGCAAGTGTGGTGACATTCAGTAATACCAACAACAACAACTACAAAATACACCAAATAACAACATAAAAACAAAAAAGAAATCTATATAGTAAAGCAACATAAATTTTCTTATTAGGGAGCAGACTTAATGTTGGGCCTTCCAACCAAGTCAAAGAAATTCACCACGAAAC